TGAGAAGCTCTGAATTAAGTCATGCTGTAAATGATTTTCGAAAATGACAGCAATGGTCTTCACAAAGCGTTAGGGTAGATGCTTTATGGAAAAACACTGCTCATTCGTACAAATCATTTGCTGAATCGATCTACCAATGTTTAATGGACAGTTAGCATGTTCTTCTTTTTCTGTTAGATAACTTCGCCCGATATTAAAATCGATGGTTTAAGCAATAAATAAAAGGTTCAGTCCGGATTTATCCTTTCGGAGTAAAAAGTAGGAATATTTTGGAAGTCCCTACTTCGCCTTTTTCGATTTTCTGTAATCAATTAAAACTCTAATCAGGCTATTTTACTTAAAAAGTGGATTTTAATTAAATTTTTATCTGCAGTTTTAAAGTTGTTTCTTCACACGACCTTTAATCAGACCAACTCTTTCGACTGATAATTCTGAAATAAAGTATTGATACTTCCTTTAATCGGTCAATTTAAAAAAGACCGAAATAACAGCGATGATAATGATATTTTAGTTCATATCGATTATTAAACTCACAGATAAGTAGGAAAAGAAATTACTAAAAGAAAAATCTAATTAGAAACTTTTTATTGAGACTTTCTTTTTATGTAGTTACTTAGACCTGTGTATCATCATGAAGCATAATTTTGTGTCATCTGAAAAGCAGTCACCAGTAGCAATACAGAATAGAATAATTTTGCAAGTTAATATCGCCTGATGCGTGAAATTAGCAATATGTTTCCTTTAAAATCTCAAAGTCATGAGTAAGCAGAAGAAGGTGAAAGTTATCGGAGGTGATCAACTAAAAGTTCACAAATAAAAAGACTAAAGTAAATAATAATCCCCCTTAGATTACGTGATGTACTTGAGAGTAACAGAAAAGATTATTACAAAATAAACTCTGTAGTTAAATCAAGAATATCTATGGCGACTTGAATGTTATCTGTTCGGCTGATAATAATACACTAAACATACTGCGATACCATTTTGAACAATCATCTGATGAGGGCTTTGAATCTTACCTGGTATGGTTGATGACCTCAAACTGTTTGCAGGTTGTTTCCTATTCAATTGATACCGGGTGAATTTTGAAAGTGACTTGAATATTTTGGGTCCCAGTGGGGTTTCCGTCCCTGCTCTTTGCCAACTGACCTGCGAATCCCAACTACTGAACAGATTTTTGCTTCGCTGCAATCATTACGGCTTTTGCCTGAGTGCCATGTGAGTTTGTGAAGCGTTACTACAACTTGGTCACACTCACACTGGCTATTCGATCAGGACTTCTCAATCCAATCTAATCGCAACTAAATTAGAGATGAAGACCTTCTCATTGACCATCATTTTGACTATCTAAGTGGTTTGGCAGACTTGTGTTGATACTGATACCGTGACTATCTTGCTTAGATAGTCAGTTGTTTGAAAAAATCTGATCTACCGTTGGTTATTCTTATGAATGCTAACTAACAGTGATAAAACTAAGAAATTGTTCCGATTTCATTTGAAGTGAAAATTAGTGCACTATATTGAGGTTAGTTTTGCAATTTGGACTTTGATAAATATGTTGGTTCAAATTTCTTCCAGGACAGCTTATCCAAAAACACCTCGAAATTAGGTATCGATCATTTATTTACAAAATTAGATCGTAATAAGATTACAGAATCCGAGATTTGCTCCTAAGCAAACTTTGACATGTTAAGTAGTCCCGAAATAAGAGGAAACGATTTCCGTATTTCTTCTTGTTGTCAGGTAGTGACGAAAGCTATTTCATATTCCTTGGTTATCTAATTAAAGCATAACTAAGGTCAAACTGTCATTCGAGAAACAATGCAGCAATTTCTGAAAATGCAAAATGATGTGTGTTTGAGGCCACTCAATTGTATCCATGATCCCGTGATAAAAGCATGCCGCAGGTACCTGGGAAAACAATAAAATATGAGTTCATTAGTTCATTCCAAGTACAGGTTCGACCAAGTGCAGAATGATGCAGGATTTTAAACTGTTTAGTAATATTGTATCAGGTAAATCAGTGTAAAAGTGGATCATTACATCAGTGTTTTCTTATCCTTTTTGAGTACTAATATGTCTTCCAACATCATTTTATTACAAAAGTAGTAAAATTTGCTCACGTTTTTACTCTGTACACAAATAAATTGATGATTGTGCTCCTGTCTAGTTGCTTACAATGCAAAGTCTGTCACCGAAATATGACTGAAGCTCGTTTAGGGCCCTTGCTTTTGTTAGTTTGACACAGATCTAGACAGTGGAGTTTAACTTGACCGACTGAAAATAAATATATGTCTTATCTAACCTTTCCACTTTGATAATCATTCTCATCAATTATCAAACCGTTTTCTCTAATTAGACAAGCAACTAACATAATATACACTTTCCACAACTGTTAGGTAGACAATGAAAAGGAATTCATATAAATCCTCTGGATAATAGTAGTAATTAACCAAATCAAATTAAGTCGCTTCTTTCTCTCATTCAGTTTTAATTATGCTGTCAAAAAGACTTAATTAAGGGTTGAATCAAAATTTATTCTTTATCCTTGGAATGGGTTCCTGCTTCAGTTACCCACATTTTCGTGATTTGCTTCATGCATCTATTCAATGACTGAATCATCATCTACCCATCAATAAGTAAATGGTGTGAATGTAAATCTGCATGTCCTCAGATGAGTACAGGAAATAAATGTTCTTTTGACCCTGAAATTGGGTAGTGACACTACTAATGGGAATTCCTCTCTCTCTCGCTATCTAGGTATTTGGCGCAGAAATGTCATGGAGGAAATTGAAATTTGTCATTTTTATCTTCAGATTATACATGGCGTGAAAATAAGGGTAAATTGATCAGTATAAACTTACTGTCAGATTTGATTAGTGTAGTGATTTATCAAACATGTCCTTTATGACGTGTCCCTCTTTTACTTATTCCTTTATTTCTAGGAAAACAAGATTTTTGAGCAAGCAAAACCTCATTTATTTCGACCCTGCTTCATATGATTTGTCTGAAATTGTTTGAAAATTTTAGTGATGTTTTCAATGCTGAGATACTGGACTAAAGTTTCCAGCTGAATATATTTGTCTTACAATGAGCATCTAAGTTTGTAGCGCAGTACACAAGTCTGTTGCTAACTACTACATTTCTTATTTCCTCCTTATCTTGTTTCCGTTCATGAAAAAAGAAATACAACTCGTTGCAACCTTGTATATGATCAAATTGTTCTAAATGCGGTGCTCATCGTTCCGACTAATAAGGTTTTTTAGTTGCTTTATTGAAAAACAAACAAGTGATTTATAATTGTAAGCAAGAGCAGAAGTTGGACATTTTGGAATTGTATAGTTTCATGTTGATTTGTCCTGTCGTTTATTTCACACATTGAAATATATGTCCAGAAGATGTCTGTCATGCTTCTCGGCATTCTACGGTACTGTGCTGTATATTCAGCCTAAAGCCGAGTAAAAAGTGAGTGCCATAGTTTACTGGCTTGGTGTCATAATCATAAATTAAAGTGGCTGGGATATTTAAAAAGTTCTCATTTCACTGGCTAGATATTGCACTTCAACTAGGCAATACAGACCTACAATCCATGTTTTATTTCTTGTGGCCGAGGTCATCAGGATAAGAAGTGATTAGTATTTTGTATGATATAGTAGGAGAAATAAACGCGTTAGTCAAGCAGAGCAATCATACAGTGTTTAGCACCATAGGTTATAATGAGGTTTAGATAATATGAATCAAACTTAACTCACTAAGTTGAGCACTCGAATGGTATCCAATAGGCCCGTGGTTCACTAATCTGGGCAGTCGATAGTAACCTGCGTGCCTCAAGTTCAAAGTTCCTCCTACCTACCGAATTAAAAGCAGTTAGATGGGATTTCTAACCCCATTACTATATCAACGAATCATGGCTCAGCGCGAACACATGTATGTTTGCTAGGAGCTGTTAATTTGCTTCCAGTAGGTCAGTGACACACGTTTTGACTTCATTTCTACACAGGTACCATGAAAAATGTCACATGTATCATTTTCAGAGTTATAAGTACGTTTTAACCAAGGCATGTTTTTCAAAATATATTTTTGCATGTAACATTAATTTACTGTCCAAAGTTTCAAGCTTTCCACATTATTAAGGAAAATAGTAAACTTTTGTCTGCAATACATTTGGTACTTCGTATAAGTTGACCATCGGACATTCCAGCAGAACAAATTTCATTATGAGTATTACAGAACATAAGTTGTGGTAAGCATTTGATTAACGATAACACAATAAGAAGTTGATATTTGCTGAATAACCTGTTTGATGCATTTTAGTTCAGATGAGTTAAAAATGGGTCTCTGATGCTTTATTCCTACACTTTTCATTCAAAGATGGTAGTGTTGTGAGTTATGTTACTTCATAAGGAGTAGGTCAATAATATTTGGAAAAGTTATTTAAACCTGGATCATGTGCATGTTATAGTTTGATCACACGTCATGAATATCGGTGAACAGTAATATCTAAAAATATTTTGCCCATATCGACTTGAATAACTAATATTAGGTCGTAGCTCAAAGTTGAACATCAATTCAGAGTCACCGAAAGCCAGGTCTGCTATCTATTAAAGACCAGTTCATAAAGACAGTCCAGTTCTTCAGAGGACCCGCTGTGACCTAGATAGATTGCTGGGTAACGTTTTTGACTACTGCGCTGAATGATGACGTTTTATTTCACCAAGGAAACACACTTGTATTGATGACTGAAGATGCACCTTGTTAATTAGTGATAACAAGTACTGAACAGTCTTAGACCTCTCTGACAAGTGATCCCTATTATATAATTTAAAATAAGTTATATATATACAGAGTGTGTATGCTTCAAGCTTTTTAACTGACTAGAAAAAAGAATCTATTTTTAAGTTGCCAACTCGTGTGTATAATATTAACTTAATTTGTGCACAGTATTCGTGATAATGCTTGTTATTATTTTAAAAGTTTGCTTCCCTATGTTGTGTTTTCAGATACTTTTAGGTGACCTTGTATGCAGCGCAGTTTTATCCCCTCGTAATCCTGGTTTCTGCAGCGGTTTACCACAGGAACCGAAGTTTCTGGCGCAAATACTTGGTGATAATTTTCATTTAGTACATGCTAGTTTACACCTACCAATTTACTTAGAACCACCGATTTTTACCGATTTCCCGGAACAGATAACAGAAAGTAATGACCAGTCGCAGCACAATCAGTTATTTTGTTCACCGCTGAACGGTTATTCGTCTGGTGTCTGCACTTCTAACACAACTTCAGCAACAACACTTACTATGAATCCATCCTCAACCAAAATGGTAAGATCTAAATAATTGAGCTGAATTCTTGTTAACTTTTGTCACCTTAAAAATTTTGGTCAGCCTAATTTCTAACTACTGACATTTATTTATGGTGCAACGCGCTAATCACGCCAGCCTATTATATCACTGCTATTTAATGCTTGTCTAAATACATGTCCTAACAAAAGAAAATCTCCATCATCTTGAAGAAGCATGTATTTATTGCCAAGTTATGATGAGATGAATGTTACGCTACGCATATCGCCTGAAGGAGAAATAATTTTTGTTCTTAAACCCATGGTCCAAACTTGAACAAATATCCTGTTGAAGCACATGGCTGAACGACAGCGAATAGGGAATGGAGGTACTCTGACAGGATATTTAATTTACAATGTGAATTCCTACCCTAATTTTTATTAGTCCGAAAAACTTTCAGTTCTTTAGATTATTTACTATTTCGCTAATGTCCTTGTTTGCCTTTTGATTCACTTTTAGGCTGACTAAGGTCTTGATAGTCCTTCGTGTTCTATGATGTTGTCAGTACCAGTTTAGCTAAAGCTTACTAGTAGTTTAGGTATGTATACAGGAAGAAATGTCAGTTATTGTGATATCTTATCATTGCTGCTTGTGTATTTGGGTCCACTGTATTTTCTACTGACTAACTTGCCCGGAAAAGTCAGATTCTGAAGTTTGCTAACATTTTCGATAATGTGTTAAATAGTATGGGTGGAATAGCCTGCCAGACCACTGGTATTAAAAGCGGTTCAAGGTAATACTTCAACATGAATTTTTCACAATGCTTTTCTTGTACGGGCTTTTCTAGGACCTGTATATTTTTAAACAACATTAACATTCGGCAAACTTAATTTCCACTGAGTTACTAAGTGACATAACTGCATTAAACCTTGACAGCCTGAACATTTAAGAAAATCTGAATTTATGACAATTCACGCATATCGAGAAGTTTTATGTACTGCATATTGGCTGATGTGATTTTGTACTTTGCTAAGATAACATTGAGACATAGTCCTTCATTTCTTCACCACTTTCTCTTGCCCATGACTTCGTGTTCAAGAAAAATCAGGTAGTTTCATAAGTTTATTTTGATGTGCTTTATTCTTAGAAGTGAAACTGACTAAGGGGAAAGTTGCAACTTCAGTATTTGTGTGACATTATTCACAAATAAAAAAACGATAATTATGATAATCGAAACTCAGCTTTGCAACGTTTTTGTGAATCAATATGTCAGACAGTTAAACGCATTCCATTAAAAGATTCTGTATAAATGTTTAAAATAAATTAATACATACATATGCATAAAGGTGGACTGGATCATGCAGCAAACCGTGAGGAGCGAGAAGAGAGGCATACGCTGGGCATACGAGATTTGGATTTCGCCTATGATTTATGTCTAATACCTTGTCGCACAAACTCAAAGACCTACAGGCGAAAACTAACAAGCTGACAGCAGAAGTAGCGAAGACGGGACTTCAAGTGGACGTAGAGAAGATAAAGGCGATGAAGATACCCAACCAACAAAAACAAGCACCAAAATTCATCAACGGGAGAAGTCAAAAGGAAGCAGTCTCTTTCACCTACCCGGCTAGGCAGAATCCTTTCAACCACAAGCGGCACAGGCCCAGATGGAGATGTCAGAGTCAGGACTGGAAAAGCAAGAAAGGCTTTCATTAACCTGAAATCAATGTGGAGGTCTACTACACTCAGCACAAAGACCAAGACACAGATTTACAACACCAATGTCAAGTCAGTGCTGCTACATGGTTCAGAAACTTGGCACGTCATGGAAAGCATTTCCAAAAAGCCACAGACATTCATCAACAGCTTATTCGATACTCAAGATCAGATCAGATGGCAAGAATGAGCTACAAGGAACTCACTCTGGCAACGAACCAATCAAGAACCCATCGCCCAACAGATATGCAGAAGGAAGTGGAGATGGATTGGATTGAGCATACACCGAGAAGACGGTTTGGGGACATCACGCCCCAGGCTGGGCCGTTGAGTGGAAGCCAGAGGGGAAACGACGAGTTGGGCGTCCAAGGGTGACATGGAGGCAATCATGTGAGGAAGAAATGAAAGTTTGTGTGCAGTCGGGGTACCAGGTTTAAAAGACTGCAGAGAAGAGAATGCAATGGAGACGTGCTACCGGAGCCCTTTATTCCACTAGGAACCCAAGGGAAAACTAATACTAATAGTAGTGTGTAAAGGTACAAATATTACAGGCAATCCACTTTTAAATTTTTAATGAGCTTGCATCTCCTGATGAAATCTAGACTCTATTAAGTAAAATCATGTTCATTTATTGAGCGGTCTAATTATGGCGTGATTTTACTTAAAATCTAATGAATTCTGACCTACAGCGGTCTCTGGCATTTCGGAGAAATTTGTTGACAAGTAAAATGACTGAAATAATAATCTAATATTATTTTCCAATTTGCAATTTCTTACAGACACTCCGCTTCACTGAATTTAGTTTTGCAAAAATGCTGTGAGTCAAAATATCTTAAGTTTCTACATGAATATTGAGTAGCGAATTAGAGTACCCAGAGTTGTAGACCATCAGCTTTTGTATGGAAATCAAGGGAAGAAAGCAATTGGCAAACCATTATTTTAACAGACACTGTTACCGCTCTATCTTTCTAGACAATGTTTATTGAGATTTTAGCTTAATTTTCATGTTGAAGTAGTGTTTTTAGAGCGAAGTAAAGTTCCTACTACCTTCAGAAGTATTGTAACCCCGGTGAAGAATTATCACATGCAGGAATTATCACTAAGAGATCACACCATTTGTTGCGTCCAAAGGGTTATTTATTAGAATATTTTTTAGCGGAAAAAGTCTGGATGAAAGGAACGCTTCTTATGGATGCTAAAACAAACTGAATGATTATCTTCGATGTTTAAGCAAGGAGAATATGGTTTTTCGGTGTGAAATGATCTAAGCTAGTGAGTTGCTTGAGGTTTAAATGAATCAAATATAAGCTTCTTCAAAACTAAATACTTGTAAACACGAATCGTCCCATACATTATATATAATAATGTAATAAAGTCCATACCTAGCAGCGAAATTGTAACTCACTGATTCACTGTCAAAATGTAATAGTTTTGTAATTATTCGACCAGGAGACTGATGAATCACTCCTGCAAACTGGTAAAACTAAACCAGGCTTCCTTTGAGGTAAGTTGTCAGCTAGAAGTGGAAAGGCTTCCTTTCCTGAAGGCTAGCTATTCTATCGTGACAGTGATCGAACTGTTGAAAGAATCCGTGAAAATCTTTGAGTTAGCAAATAACTATTTTCTTAGGGTGCCTATGAGATTTTTATCGAAAATATTAATGATTGTGCCACATCAGCATCACTGATGTAGAAGAGACCAAGCGTTATCCCAGCTGTTCGCAAGGATACAGTGTTAGCTAAACACCACTGTTGTCAGTTGCAGTTTCCAAAGATACTTTATTGTTTGATTTGTGCTGATCACTATCAAATAAAACCACTGAGAATTTGAACTGGTAATATATTCCACTTATTTGAGTGACATTTGAAGTTACTGATAACAAGCTGCTCACTTATCAACTTTTATTGTTTTCTCTCCTAAATTCACTAGTCATTCAGTTTAAATTGCATGCCGACCAATGTACCAAGAGCAAATTTTGACAACTTCTACAGAATACATTCAAACAGCCAGCGTAGTTCAAAAATGTCTTCGTTAAATCCTGAAGCAGCAAGAAACAACAGTGACTTTACAAAAGAACATCATCAGTTTAACGTACACGATATTGCAAGCATGTTCTTGCACAATCATGAATTGGCTGACTGGAATGGGAAAATCATCAAGCAGTTGGTGTTGTCCACGATGTTAACAAGTGAGTTTACACCAAAACATATGTTGGGCCTGCAAGTATTGTTTGGCTGAATTGTTTATTAAAAAGGTTATATATTACATGAAATTCTTCTATTCATATCTAAACGAAACAGCTAACCAGTTCGTTTACGTACCAATGGAACATCCTAAAGTTAACTTATGTTTTGCTTTTCATTTTGGAGTATTGGCTATGAATAAAACACTCGGACCAAGAGCGCTTTCTGACCAAATGGCACTTAAGTTCTAGGTATCAATCAGTTAAATAAATACATCTGAAGCAAATGCACTCTTTTATGAAATATGATCTTTCAGTTTTAGTTTTAAATAAATTCCCCACTATCGAGGACCCCATCTTTGAGGTTAATAGTTTCTTGAGTGACTGTATGAATACTAAAACAAAGAGAAACAAGTTTGAACAAGGGGTTAGGAAGCGCATTCCATGTGATTTCTGTATATTAAGATTTTGACACACGTGCCGCGTCTGTTACAGTTACGACATAACAGCACAATATATATTTATTGAGAACATAAGGAGATCCTTTTATTCGAAAATAGACATAAAGATAGTTGTGTAAATACCAGCTATCTATACTGCATGCAAACTATGTGACTGCCATAACATGTAAGTTCCGTTGCAATGGACTAAATTGAGTAAATCGAATTACACCAGTGATGGAGAAAAAAAGGGTAACCCATCTAAAAAGACCAAGCTATGGTCAATAAAAGCCAAAGAAAGAAAGATGACAAAGGAAAAGATTATAACTAGGGGATCTTACACAGTTATAAAAATGATTACATGAATCACGCAAGCATGTTGACTACATGGTAGATATACAGTACCTTGGAGAGAGTAATGAGCGGAACCCAAATGAATAAGCTTATATACAGAATTGATCTGAAAGAGAAAACTAAAAGTAACTGTGACTCTTGTAGAGACTTTAGAAATCATAATAATATGAGGAATGGATTGTATTGATTTTCAAGTAGATCCGGTCAGGCAACTTCATTCAGAATGACTTTTGATCCATTACATTGAAAATTGTTAATGTTCAAAGCTATAAATACTCCGTACTGATAGGAACTCATTGTGTTAAAGGAGGTTGAGAAGACTCCAGAAACCCATTTTCCTAATAGAAGCTAATAAATTAGACAGTGTTTCAAGTTCACCAAGTTAACTTTTGTTTTGCATTGAACGATGTAATCGAAAATATCACTTTTTGAAATCCACCATTTCTCGATCGAAATTATGTCCGTCGACGTAAATGTTTCTTTTTAGATTAGCACCCAAATATAAGTCAAATGATTGAACTTGGAAAACAGTAATTATCTATCATTTTCATCTTGCAATCGAACATCAAAGACTTTTCACCTTCCTTACTTTTGTCATAGCACATTCTGAGTTTAAAACAGCTCAGGAAAGAGGGCTAATAAAGTGAATAAAATGTCATTCGACAGGCTGAGTAAAATCATAGAAAATAGTCTGTCAGACAAACTGTCTCCTTTTACAAAACCTTCCAAGTAAACACTTTTTGACGGCTTGAAAAGCTTTCTGCAGATATTTCGAATAATGAAGACTGATTCATCTTTTAACTAAACTTTCCGGTGCTTAATAAAGCGAGATGTTTCAACCTGTTTTTCAGCTAGATAAATGTAGATTATATTTTAAAAAGATAGCCAGTATTGATTGTAAATCCACAGCTTAATAACTCAATTCGAATCCCCATAAAGTTAAATTGATAAATCTTGTAGAACTTATTCATGCTCTTCAAAGTACATACTTACAATCCCTGTTGTCTCGATGTGATTTTTGTACGATTTAAAATTTCAAATTAACCACAATAACTTATAACACTGTTACAATCTGTTTTAATTAAAACAAACAGTGTTCTGTTACAAAGTGAGTTCATTTTTCAACACGCTTTGTTCGGAACTTTTTATATAGGTTATTGCCATCATTTTAACTTTAGAGATTTTTCCGACAGACACTAACCTGTATTGTAACTACGTTAATTCACATAAAATGAACTGAAAGTAGGATATTCAAACGTATCCAGTATTATGCAGTTTAAACTAATTAATTGCAACAGATATTTTTTTATCACTAAAAATAACAAGAATTAATAATGTAGCTACAATGGATGTATACATATATATTTATGAAGGTGCATGAGGATACTCTTGTTTTAATGAGTTGTGAAATATGTCAATCCCTTGAATTCTTTTTAGATATAGAGCGAATAAAATGAGTAATTTAACGTGTCCATTAAAATGCCCTGAATGAAATACAATCTTCACTCTGATCAATAAGTAAATACTTTACTGTCAAAAGAATATTATTCACTTTCTGATCAATGTAAGGTATCCTCTGCTGTAATGATTGTGCAAAAGGAATTGCCGATATGTATTGAAACAAAGGTTTATCATGTGTTGAGACTACTTACCAGAAAAGTCATTACGAATGTAAAGTCGTTCTACAATGCATGTGCTACTTTATTCATGTGCTCAATAATTAGTGATAATAACTTTGTTCTGAAAGATATTTCGAGAATACTGTACAAAATTTTCTTGTTACATGGCATCAATTAGACGGGAATACTTCATATGTGTACACAATAAAATGAAGTAAATGGAAATTAAATGTATAGAAGATAAGAAGATGTACTACATCTACAGCTTTTCGAGTATGCAGAGTTAACTTAGGTAAATAATTACATTAGGAATTAGATTCATAACACATAAATAACTGCAGGCTGTTTAATTTTCAACTAGTTTGCTTTAATGCACCACAGCTGAGTAGTTAATTGGTTCCTAACGTTTTCTTACTTGCACGTGATCCTAGTTAAATATGGTGATGCACTGTTTTTGCATTCAGTATTACTTGCATGAAGTCTCGTATACTTTCAACTAGTTTTGCTTGAGGACCGACACGTATGGAGCTTCGAGTGAAGAGGATACCCTGTCATCTTTTGAAATAACTCCTCCCAAATGTTTACATGAGATAAAATGTCTGTTCAAAACAATCGTAATGTTTAAAGGTACACTACTAGTTCTGCTATCAGTCTCCGAAGTTCTACAAAGTAGGGCATAAAATTTCAGTTACCCAGAAGACAGTGGTAGGGAACAATGGAGCAGAAAAGGCAAGGTATAGGTGTACATAAAGCATGAATTAAAAAGTTAAGTTATGCCAAACACAACTTCCCAATGTAGTAAGCTAGGCGGTTGATTTCTACGGAAACTGGTGAGATACAGCATGACCAGGAGCAACCAGAGGCAAAATCACCCGGATTGATCACATTTGTTAAATTCTCTAATACATACCTACCAAAAAGATAGTAATCATGGGACTTGGACATTTGAAACTAAGTTGGTCCTCTGACATTTTGAAGGGTAAAGCACTAGACCACTCACGGTGGAACATAGTCTAACAGTGAATAAGAAATCAAAAGTTCGGAACAACCTGGCAAAGAGGAGACTGGCATGGAAACTGTCAGGCCACAAGTATATTTGATAAGTTGATAAGAGCTGAAAATTGCAAGTATTACAGTAAGAAAGAGGAAAGAATGCGGGGGAAAAACGGTTCCTCGGGGAACACCGATCTCAGTAGTTAATGATGTGAAGCACTTCCTGATGTGAACAGTTTATTGTTCCCTTTCAGAGATATAGGAATACAGTCAGATAATTGTCCAGGATGCAGTATTTATCCCCGCTAGCTTTCCTAACTATACATATCTTGGTAAGGAATCAAATGCTGAAGTATGGTCTAAAAAAGGATGCCAAAAACATTCGAAATTTCTATCCAGATCATAAATAATATTATAATATGACAGTAGTGGCATACAGAGTGTTTCTTTTGCTTTTTTGTGCAAACTGATTAAGATCTCTAAAAACTTTCAATGAAGATTCAGGCACAGGCATCGTTAGCTTCTCTCTTAGTTTCGAGAAAAGGAAAAAGAACTGCAACCGAATGGAATTTCAAACATCCACCTAAGATTATCCACTTAGGTACTAGAAATGTCTTAATGTCTTTTTTGGCACCCGGTACTATGTTTTCTGAAACATGCCACTTAGCGCATTACTTGATATGTCATCCAAACCCAAAATATGTGAATGACTCAAGGATTTGAGACAGTTAAAAACATCTTTCTCGATGAATTTAGGATAACATTCTTCTTTGGAACTACGCAGACAGAGTGGATTGTGATAGTTGAGTTGGCTTATAAACTATTTTTTTAAAGCACAGATATAAACAAATGCTTTACTAAGGTGTTTACCACCAGTGAGGTTTTTAATAAGTTTTTACACACTGGGCTTTTGCATGGCTAACGTTTCCAGTTATATAGTAGACTCAGACGTTTAGTTCCTAACCTAATTTTAACATTCAAAGGACGAGTACCAGCTTTATCGATTGCTTCATGTAACAGATCTTTTCCTCTTATTAATCTCCTAAATTGAGGGCAATATATGCGGTCGAAGTGTTTAGATAATTTTTCACTAGGGCAAACAATATCTAGTGAAAACTTGTGGTAACTTGTCACACCGTAGATAGTGTATCGCACAAAAAGTTGCTCTTAAACCAATACAACTGTAAAACTTTGGCACTGTGGTAGGATGTAATTCCATAATAGATTTGTTCATCTATGAATTAAACAATAATAAATAGTACTGTATCATTGTGCGCTATATATCAGATAAAGAAATTTTATGTAGAATCGCTGTTAAATATATTCCAGTCTGTACCTTGTACCATTACTCACAGTTGAAGCATTCCACTTTGTAAATATTTTCGTTGTACTGTTTTCTTATGTTGATACGTGAATGCTGTTTTGTGTAGCTTACCATATATTTTGGGCAAAAATGCACATTCCAATAATTTTAGTTGAGCAGTAAGGCTATCTTTCTGATTTGATACACATAAATAACCATGACAAATACCAAGTCCAGCGTTGCAACCCGACCTGTTGTGAAGTCAACTAGGTTTCGTTGATTAAGAGTTGTGAGAAAGCTGTGGCCACTTAAATAAAAATCACCATATATTATCGATACGGAACCACAGAAGATCAAGGTTGCAAATTTCACGAATATTTCAGAGAAACTAGATAATGCGGAGTAACCACAGCCGGATATCACACACATATTTGTGATATAAATAAACCAATATATTTCCATATATTTTGGTGAGATAATGTAAGATTTTCTCAGCATTGTGGACGTGAGGGTTAGTACCTGAGTTTAAAAGGCATAAAAACCATTCAAACGGTGCTGAGTCTTCACAAAAGACAAATCTCACCTGTTATTGTTCTCTACAGGTGGAATTCCAAGTATTACTGGTGAAGTAGCTCAACAAAACCATTAGATATTGTGCATTAGACGAATTTATATAAATAGGACGTTTTCCTTAGAAGATAGACAAAGTTGTGCTTTCAAAGAGTATAAATCAATTTTCCATACAAAATTTACTAATTAAGAATAACGGACAATCCATGAACGGATCCACTGACGTCAGAGATAGGAATTTCGTTCCACAGTTATCATAGTCGAGAAGCTGAATGAAGTTTGTATGGATAAGTCACTCCTGAGTAACCAATTTCATATTGTCTAGTCCTCAGGGCTAACCGAATCCTGTGGGTCATTTTTAAAGTGCAATCACCAAGCTAGGAGGCTCAACACTATACAGCGATTTGACTGATGCTCACTGGTTAAGAACAATCAATGAGAAGCCCTGGACCTTGGTTTTATGTTTGTTGGACCTCGTCAGCAGGTAGACAAACAATTTTTCAGATGATGTCATTAAGGTACTGAAAAGAAATATTTTTTGGTTCATTGAAATATCTTATTCAAACTACATAATGAATGAACCAAAGATGAGAAAAACTAACAGATAAGTTCTCTCCAGTTGCGTAGTAGAAGTATATCTATTACTGCACTTCAGCTTTGTTAATTTCAGGAAATAAGAAGTGTAATTTGACCAGGCTGAAGGAAGTGCCAAAAGTACTTTGATTTTGCAAATATTACCAAGCGCTTTAAGTCGGTCCTAGACAGACTATTTTCGCATATGTCGACAAAGTCGAAAGGTTAATGATTCCATGGATCTGAAAATATATCATAATACTGGGTACCTATTAATTTTGCCAGTAACTGGTACACCCCTTATTAGGGGCTGTCATACTCTTTACTGTCGGTTTAGAATTTACAAGTTCAGTTTGTCTCTTCATACAGAAATCAGAATGATGATATGAAGAGATGGTAGCTAGCAGTAGAATCCAGGTAATGCCTTTTATGGACTCGATGACTCACCAGCTGACCCACTTGCTCTCCACTGAGTTATGTTTTTCTCATCATAATAAAAGATCAGACTACACTGCAACAAGATATTGAGTTTTTATTCAAATATTTTAGCCTGGTATATGGGGTCAGATTGCTTATTTCCAAGCTGAAATTCAAAAACTGTACTACCTTTTTTATCAAGCGTAGAAATCACTATTGAAAATATTGCTTAGTAATGTTCACTTATTACAGTCCTCTAACAGACACATAACTCAGCTATTCTCGCTACAGTTTACCAGATAAAACCTATCTTTATGTTCGAAATGTTTCAGTTATTTCAAGTGGAGTTAACATTTTTTTCTTGAAACACACGAATAGGTCGTTTGTTGAAACTTTACAATATGAATGTTGAAATTGAAATGGTAATTGTATGGATTACATTAGTTCACCACTGGCCGTATCATACAGCCTGGTTAATAATTCATCTAGAAGACCTAAACAAGATGAACTCAGAGAATTTGAACAAAGAGCAAAATCTTCAACTTCAAGTCAGTCTGACCGAAGCTTTCTTAGAGGTGAGTTATCCACATACATTTTTGTACACATGAGGAATATAATGCACGTTACTTTTTGCGTTTTATTCAACTTTATTGTTGGAGCCCGATATATTTTTCACTGAAGTGATAGAGAATATCAGGAGCTCACTTGGATGATATTGGTTGTGTTGTGTTCTATGAGCTAGATGAATTACTCATTAAGCTTTCACTGTCTTTCAGATGCCAGATAGATTGATTCTGCTTCTATAAACTTATTGATTACCGACTGACTTGAATGTCAAGCTTCTAGGAATTCCTTGATAATTTTTGTGCTCCCTCTGGCCAACATCTCTGCATTTTAAAAGTTTTAATCATGTCCCAGTTGTGTACAGGCACTGACATGAACCACACAATATCTTGACTTTCAATAGCTAAGTGATGTTTGCGTAAATGGAGACGAAGAAGGCGACTACCCTATCTATGTAAGGTAGAGCTGATCGTAGCTGCTACGGTTGATTTTAGAAGTAATACTTGGTCCAGTTTCTTTAGCTGTTGTTTACTCCATTCTGCATAATATGGTTTTAAGTGATTAAGTTAGTTTGTGGACCATGCCGATTCCGAATGGTATTAGATTCAAAAATCCTGGCAGCTCACTTGATATTGAAGTATGTGATGTTGCCTAGAAGGATGATGAAGTCTTCATGGGTAAACTATCCCTCTCAGAGAATGCAACACAAATAAGATATCTTTCATTAACTGTCGGTACCCAGATGTTGAAGCATTACAATGACTTTTCAGTCAATAAATCAGTCGTCAAAGGGCGTTCTGACTGCTTATACATTACTATTAAAAACAAATCACAAAAGAAGTAATGATCTCAAACGAGACAACAATCAAGACCGTAACCAGAGTCAAGTGTAAATTTGGGCTAAAGGATACGTACACTTGATACTTTGTGAAAACGACAAGACAGCTCCAATATACTCAACATCACTGCATCAAAATTAATTTCAATTTATTTAAACAATGTGTGGTAAATACTCCATCATAACTTGCAGTAAATCAGGAGATGAATGAACCAAACAAGACGTCATTTTAATTTAAAAATTCGATTACTGAAAACTATTTTACCGGTATCTATATAGTCTGTATGCACTAATTCGTTGGAACGACAATAAACAAAAATAACGCACGGGAAATGACAATAAAATTTAAAGAATCACTGATAAGATTCTCAAACAACAATCATAAAATAATTAAATTAGAAAGAATAATAGGAGGTACACAGGTACGCACAAATGGATGTAAATACAGATTTAAAAAATAAGTATAAAATTTTCACGCACTAAAACGTTAAATATTTTCAACAGGGTTATTTGACAAACTGCAAATGAGAAAGAAAAACTGGGAAAAATAAACATTAATAAAGGACATGCAGAAGATCAAACCATCATATATAATTATTACACTTACTTGTCACCAGAATTCATAGTGAAAGATAAACCTTTAGGAGCAAGTCACCATTTCACTCTCCACTTCTCTGCAGTCTTTTAAACTCAGCTACACAACTACTCACGAACTTTCATTTCCTCCTCACACCATCTCCTACATGTCACCCTCACCTTAGACGCCCAACTCGTCGTTTCCCATTTGCTTTGCACTCAACGGCCTGGACTGGTGTATGATGTACCTGAACGGTCTTTCCAGTCTATGTCTAATCCAATCCATCTCCACATTCTTCTGCATATTTGCTGGGTGATGGGTTCTTGGTTGGTTCCTTCCCAGAGTTCCTTATTGCTCATTCTTGTCATTCTGTCCATCTGATCTGATCTTCAGTATCCAGAGAGAGAGAGAGAGATTGAGATGGTAGGCAGCAGCTGTTGATCAGTGTCTGTAGTTTGTTGAAAATGCTTTACGTAACGTGCCAAGTCTCTCAACCATAGAAGCACATAGAAGAGCTGACTTGACTGACATTAGTGTTGAAATTCTAGATGTTGTTCACGCTTTATGCTGAGTGGAGTGGAGTGCAGTAGATCTCCACACTGACTTCAGATTAATGAAGGACTGTCTCGCTGTGTTCCCGATCATGGCTTTCACATCGTCATCTAAGCCTGTGCTGCTTGTAGTTGAAACGATGCTGTCTAGACGGGTAGGTGAAAGAGACTACTTCCTTTAGGTTTCTCCCGTTGATGGTGTTTGGTGCTTCTGGTTGCTGATGATGCTGTTGTTGTTGATTGAGTATCTCCATCACCTGTGTCTTCTCTATGCTCATCGGAAGGATATCCATCTTCGCTGCCCCACCTCTTCTGTCAACTTCTTGGTTTTCACCTGTAGATCCTCGAGCTTGTGCCACAAGACATTGGACATAAATCATGATCGGCGAAATTCAAATCTTCTTCTCCTGGAGTTCCTTCATCGGTCCAGCCAGCACATGCCCATCTTCTCACTCATCACAGTCTACTGCATCATCCAGTTCAGTCCAGTCCAGTCGACCACAATCAGGAAGTTCATCGGTGATAGGAGGTGACAACTTTGTCTTACTCCTTTCGGTCTTCACTTCAAAGGCATCACTGAGCTTTCCATTGTGTTGTGAATCACTTGGCATGATGCGTCGTCACATAGCTATCTGTTGAATGAGGTTGATAAAGGCTTGTGGCACTAAAACCGTAGTGTTGAATCAGCTGCCTGTCAGATTACTTCTCAGTCGACGTTGTCGAAGGCCTTTTCAAAAGCGATGAAGTTGAGGTTCGATGAGGAGTTGACTGCCATTCTGTGCTGTGTTCTGTGATGTCGTGTGGCGCATCGTTGCAATGTGATCCGCACATGATTTGTACATCCTGAAGCCAGCCAGCCAACCAGTCAGTCTGTTTCGTTCGTAATTCTGAATCCGGAGCATTTTGCAGTCTCTCCAGGATGAAGCAGCCTAATATTTTGCTTGCTTGGGGTGGACAGGGAGCCGGCATGATTCCGCACCAGTGCTTGCGAAGACTTCGGTCACCCACCCTTGTTTGGGAGTTTGACAAGGTGGTTCTTCTTCCAATCAATGGGCAGGTACCTTCCTCCCAATATTTCTGCAGTAGTGGTGTGGGCATATCCGCCTCAGATGTCTCTGCGTCTGTTCTCGGTGTTTCTGCGTGAATTCCACCTGGTCCTGCTGCTTTCCCGGACTTCAGCCACTTTATGTCGTTCAGGACTTCACTTCTGCCTTTGTCGGAGGGCTTGTGTTCACTGGTATTTCTGTGATAGGGCTGCTGGTGGTATTTGTTGACGAGTTGCAGACGATAGTGGTGTTGGTGGTGTTGTTGTTGTTGGTGTTCGATTTAAGAGTTTTTGAAGTGGTCAGCCCATCGTCTGCTTCGTTTCCCCTCCATGCTGGTAGCTAAGTTTCCTTCACTACCTTTCATTGTTTTCATCTATGTTGATCTCTTCCGAGATAGTAATCTGGTTATTTGATGTAGTGTTCTCAGGTATTTGCCTCTACTACGGGCCTACAGCTTGTTCTGCTTCACTTGCCAGTGTCTTGTAGAAGTGTCTTTTGTCTTTGTGCACACTCTTCTTCACTTCATTGTCCAGTGTTTTGTAGGTTGTGTTGATTTCTTCTTTTCGTTGTTCATCTTTGCACTGGTGTATCTTCTGTTTCACCATCTTCCTCTGCCTCCTTTATCAGCTTCCCTGTATCCGTTGAGATCCATTCCTCGTCTTGCTTCTTCTTCTTCCTTCCTGACACAATTCCGCAGGTTTCCTTCCATATGTTTTTTATAGCGTTCCAGTGTGTTCTCAAGCAGGTTTCTTCGGGGATGTTGCTGAATGTCTTTTATTTCGTCCTGATGGCTGACGTGAGTATCTCATCTGTAGTTTCGTCCTTCTCTCTCTGTTCTGTGTGTTGAACTTGAACTGTGATGCATTATCACTTTCCTTGAAGGCTTTCAACTTGATTTTGAAAGAAGGTTGCTTTCACTAGATATTTCGATTGGCTGAACCTATATCTGCTTCTTTTCTTGATCTTATCTCGTGTCCAGTAGGCTGTGTCTGCACTTTCTTCACATTCAGATGAAGTCGATGTGGTTTTCAGTGAAGTGTCTCCATCTGGTGAAATCAAATCCATGCAGCTTTATGAATATCCTTGTGTTTATACACACTGCCTCCAATCATCAAATCGTTAAACTCGCAGACGTCTGCAAACACTTCTCTATTCTCATTCATCATTCCACCGAGTGACACTCGACCCATGACTGGTTCTCTTCCTGTGTTGTCTGCTCCCAGTTCGGCATTCATGTCACCTCACCCATTGGAATTTTGATATCGCCAACTATGGTCTTGTCAGTCACTGATTGATGTTGTCCATAGAATTCCTTCTTCTTCTCCTCTTGATCTGAATTATTTGTAGATGCGCGGCATAGAGTAGCATTGGTTGATTGTGACTTTCCTTCCTTTTGATTTGAATCCATCTTGCTGTCATGATCCGGATCCTGCAGGAGGAGATTGGTTCTCACTGCACGAGACAGTGCCTTCGATGCTGTTGGGGACATCATGATAGCCACCCCAAAACTCAGAGTGCTCATTCGTGGTTATCGCCTAGGTGATAATATCAGAGTAGATTATTGACTCTCCAGTTGACAGTTTGCAGAGTCCACTTCCATTCCATCTAGAGATTCCTCACAGATTCCTAGCACTACCATGCCATATCTTTTCACCTTTTTGCAATCTGGTCAGTCTTGCTTGGTTCAAACATCGTGCAGACATTCCATGTCTCCATGTTTATTTTTGCTTCCGTCGGGAGAGGGAGGAGACATATCGTCCAGTTGGTTTTGTGTAGGCCTTCATCAACTGGCATTATTTCGTCTCCTCGATTCTTGCGAGAAATAAGTTTATATTTATTTTCAATATTTTGAAGTTTCTTTGGCGACTGGATTGGCTTTTTGGGGTAGGGTTGTTAGCCGTATTCCCAACCTTCCGTCTTTATCTGGGTCTAGGACGGGCTAGTAAGCTCTTGAAGTAGTTAACTAGGTGAGGTTAAACTATAATATATGTTGTGCAAT